CTTTCACACAATTTATGTTGCCACTATTACTACCAAGCTTATTAGAACTCAGGAAAATTCAAACTAACCATCACAGTGTATCACCAATTTTTGCTACTCATCTGTAGTTAAATTTTTTTATACAGTTTAATTTATTATCCAAAACAATTTGTTTGTTAATTTTTATTACTGTCAATGACTTTAACTTAAATGAACAAGTTCATTTGTCTACTATACCAGAGCTAGTAAAACAATGTATTCATTTGTTACCTACATAGAAATCACAAAAGGATTTACCTTCATATGTTTCATACAATACTGCATTTTTTTAAATACTTACTGTAGTAAAAAAGCACACTACATAATTATTATACAACATTGGGCTTTATAAGTGCTAATGTTTTATATAACTTTGAGTCTTACTCTTGGTTACAATTATTTATTTGTTGAATTCCGTGTAAAGTTACTCAAGGCTTATCTGAAACAGCTACCCCTAATTTAAAACTGGTACACCAGAGAGAAAGCAGCCAGTTAACACTACCAACTTCCAACTCTTGAGCTACTCTTTATCAATGAAATGTAGGACTGATGGTTTAAAGGGAGAGCATGTTCAGTGATGGCATTCAAACCTGCAACCAACATATAGCGAGTCAAACACCCTATCGTCAAGCCATGTCGGGCTTCTTGGTTACAAAGAGGGCCATTAATTTCCCATACAACCCACTTGTGTCCTACATAAAGGGTTCTGATTTGTATGTAGCGGCACAAATTAAAATTATACACCATACAATTATGTAACTCTTACATGAAGTAAAATAACAATGCTTGACATGATGTCAGACATAATTAATGCAATTTCACCATCAACAGCAATTTATGAAATAACAACCCGACTTCAGAATTAACAGGATGTTAGACATAATTAATGCAATTTCACCATCAACAGCAATTTATGAAATAACAACCCAACTTTTTGACTTCAGAATTAACAGGATGTTAGACATAATTAATGCAATTTCACCATCAACAGCAATTTATGAAATAACAACCCAACTTTTTTGACTTCAGAAGCCTTTTGAAAAGAACCATTTGCCAAGCAATAAGAAATAAACGAAATCAAAAATTATAAATCTGGTAACAATGACCTAGACTTGACTATATTACGTGTAGAAATTTAAACTTTGATTATGCAGACTTATATATGATATGGAAGAAATGCTACATAATAGCATTAAACTCAGGGCCCTGTATGTAATGCATCTTACTCCGAATATTTAGTTTCTACGTAACAGATGTTTTACACAATGAATCTTATTCTCAATTATACAGAGTATTTCTATACAACACCCTTGTGTCCTTCATAAAGTATCTTTGTCCAAGTTAAAAACAAGAGAGTATTTATCTTACAAAACACATATTCTATGTAACATATCTTATTCTGAGTTACACAAAAAATATTGATTTTCTTTACAACACACACTCATATTCTACATAATGTATCTTAATGTAAATTACACAGATTATTGATTTTCTATACAACACTCATGTTCCGTGTAACACATCTTACTCCGAGATACAAAGAAGATTGATTTTTATATATATATACAAGGTAAAGGTCAGAAGCACCTCTACACAGTACTGAGTTACAAGTGTTTATAAACACTTAACATTCTCTGTTAGAAGACATATCCTTCACTATGACACTTGTCATTTAACTTAGCTACGTTCGTGAGCACTGACACTGTTCAATAATTGGAATTCTCTGCCAGAACTGGCACATGTCGCATGTTACAAATGTTGTTGTTTTTATCTCATGTAGATACACAGTGTTTTTATTTGTTTATTTGTTATATAGCAAAG